TGAGAACCTGGTAGCCTTGACTGCTAATCATCAGCGGTATGGTGCAGCTGTCCGTCCATGGTAAACCTCGATGTTGGTGCTCATCGCGGGCAGAGGTTTGATGCGACGCAGTGAGCTGATGAATCTGATCCTTTGGTTCTCCAATCATGGAGTCTCTTCACCTCCCTTTCCGGAGAAGTCATATATGAGTGAAGGCCATAAATAGAAGTGTAGCCCTCAATGCGGGTGCATAGATGTTGTATCACATCGCCGCGTCGCGCCGTGTCTCTTGCGTGTGCAGCGGTAGAGCCATAACAATTAATGACGGTCAGCAGGACGCTTGAATACCGCGGCTCCGGTTCGTCGGATCTAAACTGCGGCTCACAGGGGTCATGAGTGTTCAAAGTCATGATACTTCCAAGGCTGTGTGCAAATACCATGACTTGGTAGTCATCAGCGAATGGCACCAAGCAATCTTGGAGCGGCGAACGACCTACCTTGAGGCTGCCTGGCAGAGCAACGAACACCACAATGGCTGTGCAACCAGTCATTTCCAAGCACAGTTCTCTGGACGACAAGAAATTGACAGTGAGATGCGACTTGGTGGTCGGTGACAACAAAATGTGCTAGAGATGTACGGACACTGTACCGCATGGAGTATGTATATATTCATGTTCATCGGGAGAAGGGAGCTTTTGAGCAGGCTTCAGCTTGCTCAGCCATGACCGCAACTGGGACGGGCCGGGTTGCTGCAGAAAAAGCCCCGAGTGCGAAGAAACGAATCAAAAGTGGGAGTAAGCGAACTGGTCCACAGAACACCAGCCAGATTCAGCATGACCGGTCAAGACAGAGTGTGAGGCCCAGACAGAAATGTAGACAGTGAGCAAGTGACCAGCGGAAACTTAATGTCCCGAGTCCTTTGCCCTTCAACAGCCATGTAACACAGCATCGGGTTATGCAAAGGTAGCTGCCGCCGGGCCGCTGTGCAACTTCAGTTTAGCGAATCACCAGTCTCTCTGTTGTTCCCGAAGGATGAGCGATGCGCATTAATCGAGTAATGAGGAGACCGGGCTGTCTGTCAAGCATGGACTTGACTCGTTGGCTTCAGATTTATGTGTTGGTATTTTAGGGGATTCCCATCTCTTGGCAGGATCCTGGGCCGAGTGGGCGTAGAAACAGTGACCTTTTTGCGCGAGGTGGCCCAGTGTGAGTCTTTTGACTGAGACCCCCCTATACCATAGACCCCTACCAGAGAGATGTTGCCGTAAGGAGGTGCCTTAATCGAGCCTTGGGAGGGTTGCCGAAGCATATGTGATTGTTGTGTCTCGGTGGCGCCACGCCATCAGCCAGTTTCTACCCGTGGCCAGTGGGAGAGAAAGAGTGCCTGACTGTTGTTTAGTTGAGAAGTGATGCTTTTTTCTCGTCTGTCGATACGACATGTAAGCGCATCGAAACTGTCCTCCCCAGAAGCACGTCTAGAAGATGGATTTTCCTTGCACGTGATTCACTTCACAGCAGGAGCATGTACCGGTACGTAAGATGCTGAACCCCATCTCCTAGTATGAATTGGGTTCTGCTTGCGATTGGTCGCCTCGTCAGCTGGTGCGTATCGTGTGGCATCTGGCCCGTCCCTTTCTGTTGGTGCGAAGGTCCGAGGCGGTCCCGATCGCACATCACCAGCCCAGCGTCCCATCTTGGCTTGCTCCGCGTTGCCAAACAGTTGATTGGCTTGAGCCTTTAACGGCCCCGTCATCTCCAAGCCGAAGGTGGACCGGCGAGATGAGCAAAGGGGTGAAATAGAGATCACGATCTAGGTACTTGAGTGGTGAGCAGAGGCGGAACCAGGGATACGCGGTGAGGTCAACGTTCCCACTTGACGACTTGAAGGCGTGCGTGGTGTAAGGAGGACTGCTATCTAGATGCCATCATCCATGACTCGTGAGGTTGGAGAAGCCCAGAATGGAACTGATGAAGGACCAAGGCGGGACATCTTGGCAGAACTTGAAATGGCGGGGATGGCCTCTGAGAGAAGGGAGGGAAGGGGCCAAGGGAGAGAGGATCGAAGAAGAAGGAAGGGACTGATGTACTGCGGTAGATGAGGAGGAGGAGGAGGAGGAGGAGGAGGAGGAGGAGGAGGGTGGTTATGATGGATGTCCCTTGTCAAGCTGGACGGGCGGGACGACAAGCTTGAAGACGAGGAAGGGACCGTGACTGAGTGCGGGAGATCGTAACACTCCGACTCAGTGAGTGAAGTTCCAGACAGGAACGAAGAAGGTGCGCTCTGCAGTGATTGAACCACTCCAGTCCGCAGTCAAGAACCCAAATCGCCCGACGTGAACAGTGTATACCTCCGACTCCACTCATCCCGCACTGGCAACCGAACTGTAGTGCGGTGCACGGCTCTGTAAAATCCGTCACTGAATGCCTAACCATGTGCCACGCAGGCATTTCAATCGATCATGATTTGAGGCTAACTGTGCGGACACAGTGTGGTAAGGTTTGAGATGAAATTTCGGAAACTTTGCAGATACAGAGGTCCGTTATGGTAATTTACTGGGACCTCGAGCATTCCCTGTACTCGGTACGGGCACCTACTGCGTGGACTACACTAGTGCCTGCCAGCTCCGTGTCTGGACCTGGCCCTCCGGACCGACTTCATGACGGACGGCGGTCATCCCTTCCTCATCAGAAGCAGCACATGGCGGCATGGCGCAGACTTTGACAACGTCATCGACTTGGAGAAAATTCTGCACTTGGAAATTGGTATTGCAATTGGGCTCGACAACTGAAAGCTCGCCAAACTATCTCATTGAGCAGACGGATCGACCATTCAGTCCGTCACCTCGTTTCGAAAGTTCAATCAGCCTTTTGGGGTGCGATTGACGGGCACACGCGCTGCACCGTACCACACAGCAGACGCCCACTTTTGGTCCGTCATCACAGTCTCCCGATTGGGCGGTTCCTGCGCAGGAATCGTCAAGCCGTCCAGTCTAAGCCAGTCAACTCCTCCAAAGGAAATCTCAGAGTTCCGCCGTTCCTCATCTCGCTCAGGTCTCTGCCTGCCCCAGTCATCAAGCGGTCCCACATCCCCCCACCGGCCGCAGCACCGCGGACCACAACGGTTTTTCTCTTCAGCTCGGGCCATATCACCTAGCCATGCTTCCCTTTGGCCAACGCTCGGGCCGTAGTTTTCCCTATTCTCTCCTAGCGCCTTGGTGTTGTCGGCTTTGCACTCGCATTCGCCAAGAGCCAATGTACCGTTTGATCTACCCTCTCCACCTCTAAAGCCAAGAACCAATAGAAATCAGACTTCTGACTCGATCTTCTTTTTGTTTTCCTTTGGCTCTGTTGTTTAGACGATTCGAGCAAGAGGCTCCAGACCACCATGACGTTTACAAGAAAGTGCACAACAACATCGAGCACACAACGACGATACTTTGATTCTACCCCATCCAAGCTCCACACTCCCCAAGTAGTGTACCCAAAACCGCGTGCACTCGCCCCGAGAACTTCTGGCCGATCAGGGCCCAAGAAAAAACCAACACGCGCTCAACGGCGAGACTAAAAGACTCGGCTGTATCCACCCAGCGGATAGGCTGTCTCGGCTACATCGCAAGAACTACACTACTACCACATATGTACAACTCATCTAAGGTACTCACCACTTTTGCTGTACGTAACCGCGTAACCGCGTAACCGAAGCTCTCTCCAGGTCCGCAGCGCCGTCTCGCGCCTCCAATGGCAGAGCTGGCAAGCTGGCTGTTGACACACACTGCCAGGTGACTTCGACACCCTCCACAGTTCGGCCTGTCTCTTGGACTCGCCAGTCCCCAGCGTGCCCAGTCAGCTCCAGCCCACACATCGGTCGTCGTCGTCCACGGTGTTGCGAACCAGTTGCTTGCAAGACAAAGAACACGGGCCTGCACCCATGCATCTCCCTGAGGTTCAGGACTCTTCATTGAGCTGCACTGAGCCTGCATCAGGGCCAGGGATACAGTCGCAAGCCAGCGTCAAGAGTCGATCCCCAAGGGTTGCTCAGCAAAAGCCGGGACTGGTGTCTACATAACGTAGTAGTGTAGTCTACCATGTACTATGTATATTGGGCCTGCTGTGCGATGGTTGCGGGACGGTGCTGTCTCCAGTCTCTCCAATGGCCAGGGACGAGATGCGATGCACTGGCCGGGTTGGCACTTTGGACTCTGGAGTGCCTATAGCCAGCCTCCATCCAGATGATCAGCTCGACCCCTGATGCCATGTTCGTCGTCGTTCATTTTCTGGGCTCTGCAGGTGTGGGATTGCTGTTGCCAGGGCGCAGTGATGATGCATGTCAAAGGATCCGACCACCGTCGCTCTCTTGTCTCTTTCAGCTCCCCTTTAACCCTTCCATTCCCCCATTGTCCCCTTTTCGCAGCATAACTCTGGCTGGCGAAGGGTAACGTTTATCCAGGATACAAAAATCATGTACCTTCTCGCCTTTGGCAGCGCCCATCCCGGTCACTCCTACTAAATGTTTTCCTCACAACTGCATCGAGAAACTTATTGCACCAGCAAAATTCAGCGCGCCCAAAAAGGGTTTTTTTTCCCCTCGGCTTGTAACGAACTTAAAATGCCGTGGGTGGAAGAAAAGTTGCCAAAAGTATCCAGGACATGGGGGCTTTTCCCTGGGCGCGAAAAGGTGCGTGCGTTTTTTAAATCTCGATAATCGTTCCCTGATGACTGAAGGTCTCTCGACCTCGCAACCCCAACCACACCAACTACACTAAAGTAGCTTCAGTTCCCACACCCCATGCCCCCTTCTTCATTACACACACTGTGTTACGTCCTTGCCAGTCATGTACCGGTACCCGGTCTTTCCAGCCTCTGGTTCTCATCCATCAGAGCACGAAATGCCCCGGGGAGCTGGTCAGCGGGTCGGCTAACCAACCCAAGATGTCGTGATGACTGGTAAAGCTATCCATGTGCTACTCTTATAGACCAGAGACCTTCGATCCGGCTGTCCCGTATTGTGAGTCTAGCCAGCCATGATTTGGAGATTGCAAAAGGTGTGCAGTACCAATGCCTGTATCGATGACAAGACACTTCACAGATGTTTTGGGATGTTATAGGTGTGTATATGCACGGAAACTTTGGCCTGGAGTGCCATCCCGTCTTTACAGTACAAAAGTCAACAAAAAAAAAGTATCTCACCAGAACGATCAGGGCGACAACCAGGGCAGTCCCCCCCTGCTCCCTCTCCGCGGTGCCCAGACGTGGATCACTTGTGATTCCCTGTCCATGAACACCCACACTGCTTGGAGCACTTTCCCTCCCGACCATCCCATTCCACTTTCCGCCCTAGAGAACCCCCCCGGAGGCTCCCACGTACGAAGTAGTCAGGTACCGGCCTAGCGCCGCCTCAACGTGTGTTTGCCTTTGCGCGTTGGTCGTCGACACTAGGCCAGCGGTACATGTTGACTAGACCTGCACAATGTACAAGACTCCGTGGCGTACACCTTGCTTGTGTTGCTGTCTAGATCCTCTTCTTCCTGCTCTCATCCCCGTTGAGCTGGCAACACCTCACACGGCGCAAATCACAGCACGTCTTGTCATCAAACCATCTCCTTCTTCTTCAACCGCCGATATCACCACTTTAGGTTGCTTCTAGGAAGACAAGACTCGCTCCCTCACTTCTTCTCGTCCTGTAAGTCCCTGTTGTGATTTGTCTTTCTGGATTCAGGTTGCCTGTCCTTGCCGCCTTCAGTCTTACTAGGGATCCGCGAGACCAAGGTGAGCCGACACATCGTCACTTCGCCCGTGTCTCGCTCTCCCGCTCCCGCCCGTATCTTCCCAATCTCATCGAACCCTGTAGCCCCTGTCAGCTCGCCCCTCCTGGCGGCTTGCTCACTCTTAAACTGGTTAAGCCCCCTCCCCCCGAACAGTTCACCCCCTTGCTCCTTCTTAGCCCTGGTATTCTGCTTGACCCACACGTTCTTTCATAACAACCGAGAGTCTGCCGCCTTCTCGTTCATCTGACCCTCAGTCACTCCTTCCTGCAAACCCATCAGCCCTTTATCATCATCCCAGCCCGAGACAGAGAGTCGTCTGAGAGAGCACTTGTATAGACACCAGCCGGTTTCCTGGGTTTCCTTGACTGACAACAGGATCGCTCTTATGCTGTAGTTCTGGAACTCGAGTCTCTGACTTGATCGCTCATACTGCCATATTTAGTCGGCAGAATCACTAACCTGCTGCCTCTCGCCCATCTCCGCGGTGTCGACGAACTAGGGACAATGGATCCGGAACTATTGAAGTATTACCAGCAGCAATACTACCCGGGCATGGGCTTTGCTGGCCCACAACACACACAACACCATGGGCCCCAGTATCAAGTCTGGAGTCCAAACAGCTACCAATGGACGGTTCTTCAACAGCAGAGGGCAGCGATGATGGTGGGACCAGGAAGCTTACACCCTTCGAAGCAAACAGAGCCCAAGCCTAGGTTGGCAAAGGACGAGGTCGAGCTACTGGAACGAGAGTTTGCCAAGAACCCGAAGCCAAACACCAGTCTCAAACGTGAGCTGGCTGAACAGATGGGTGTTGAGGTTCCAAGGATCAATGTTTGTTCTCGCGAGAAATGTTGCCCCGGTTGTGTCGTGAGCTAACATTCGTTTGTTAGAATTGGTTCCAAAATCGACGAGCGAAGGAAAAGCAGATGAGGAAAACAGCCGAGTTTGAAGCACAACAAGCGAGAGAAAGAGCAGAGTCCGAATCCAAGCCCTCCGACGACCAGGACCAAGGCACCATCACCGAGTTTTATGGTCTAAGCAACCGCCATCAGCCCCTGGGCCTATCGACCGCTTCCATCGGGAGCGAGGATGGCGTCAACAACGACCAGTCTGATAGGCAGCGCCCAAATCTCGAGCAGTCAGATCTGGCTTTGGCTGGAAATGCGTCGGCGGCGGCTACGCAAAGCAACGCCTCCCCATCTGGATCGGATAGCGATGGATTTGCTCCTGCTGACTACAACACGCCACACTCGTCCGGACCCCGTGGATACGGGCTTGTCAGCCTTGCTACACCAACACCCGTCTCGAATTCATACGGCTCAGCTTCGAGCCATATGCAGTATTCACAGCCAGCCCCATTTCCATATGGCCTAAATGAGCCACCACGACCGGTGGATGGTCTCCCAATAGCCACCACCATGCCACAGCATAATGGTCTGCTTGGTGAAGCGAATCAGTTTGGATCTTATACTGAGCGGAGCATGTTTATGCACCCTTCCGACGGACCATTCCCATCGCAAATGGGAGGCCAGGATGGAACCGGAAATGGCACTGCTGAACATCCAACGGTCCGTATGTCGATCGAGGGTGCGATCAACTCGGAAAACATGTCTCCTTCATCGGGCACTGGTTCGTCTCCAGTGATAGCGGACCTGCGCCTCAGGTCACCGCCTCCGCCTTCCGACATTGCCAGCCGCAGAAACCTGCGGCGTCCAGCGCCGCTGGGGCCTCTGTCGCTCCGCACCGATTGCGTTGGAAACGGACCAAAGACAGGTATCGACGTTGCGCCCCGACGGATGGACAACGCACGTACGATCAGGAGGATGTCGTCAGCGACCGGAAGCTTGACAGGTCGCATACAAAAATCTCTGGCCCTGAACTCAGGAGGACCACGCTCTCCGTTTCCCATCGATCGAAAGAAGGAGGCCCTGCTACAGGGCATTCAGAACGTCCAATCTCCCCCTATCATGGCGTCTCTGAACAGCGCCATGTCCCCGATGACCAATGGTGGTTCAGATGATGAGCAGGCGTATACCTTTGGCTCTTGTGGGGCGGTCAGTGGGATGTCGTCCCTGCCGCCATTTAAATCTGAAGCTGGAATCAAGACACCGCCTGGGACTCCTGGGCTAGGTGTTCACTTCCGTGATCCATTCGCGTACTCTGCCCCGGCTGACAACGCTTGGGGTTACGTGTCTTCGGACGAGCCTCTACCCACCCCTGGTCTATGCAGCAATGGGGGCTCTGAGCTGGATTACTCCATGGCGCCGCAGCAGCAGTTGTCTGGTTATGTTACCAGTCAGCCTGTGACCCCTTCATTTGCCGCCGCCATCGGACCGACCTATAACAACGTATACGGAACCAACGGCGGAACTCATCTGGCTAGAAATACCGAGTATACCTTCCCGGAGTCGTACCAACCCGAATCTTCGTCACGGTGCTCGCCGGCTGGCCAGTTGAGGGCAAAACAACAACAATTCCAGTTTGCTCAAAACGTCACGCCGCAAGACTTTAGTCATGAAAAGTGAAGAAGCAAAAGAAATAGCCGGCCGGACTGAGACGCAGCTTGCTGGGCGTTTTTCTTTCAGGCTGTTTTGATCACACGATTGGGATGGCAGACTCCTCTGGTGAGCTGCTGGTTTCCTCCCCACGTGGGTTGACGTATGTTTTGAGATGCCGTCATCTCATTCCTGTTGTGGTCCTCTTTCGGACGCAATATGCCAACACTTCCTCTTTGCAGCATCTTATCTTGCCCTCACTACTACTGAGGCGGATATAAGTTGCATACCGCCATTATCGTCTCATGAGGCTGCTCTCGAAGATCAGGTGATATTTGTCCCAAGGCAGGATCGACTTTGTTCCTCTCTCTGCATGGGCCAATTTTTTCCCCGGGACCGAGAGATGCCATTCTGCGACGAACCCCCTCTCACGTCATTAAGTTGAACAGATAAGGGAGCGTACCCGCAAACGCGAATACACGGGGCTCACGAGTCTTCAGACAACATCAACCGCTATACATCCCGCTAGGATAGGGCAAGGTCCAGAATTAGCGAAACAGTTTGAGAGGGACGTGAGAGAAGGGATGGCGAGATGCGAGGTTTTCTTGTGACAAGTCCCAGTGACAAAGAAGCATTTTGAATGCATTGATACGATGGGTTACATCAAAAGACACATATATAAACGACGGGGCTACTTTCTGTGGGCGCCTGTCCGCACTTCTCTGGGTTGGAGACATATGGAGAACTGGGTTTTGGCCACGGATACCCGTACGCAAAGGAACCTGGGAGGGGAGTAAAGGGAGGCAAAGGGGCCTGTGGGAGGTTTTTTATTATCCTTTTTTTTTGTGTGTGTGTATGTGTGTGTGTGTGTCCGGTGTGGAAATTAATGCCGTGATTAGCCCATTATGGGCCTTGAAATACGGAAGTGGAAGGACAGGGGGATAGTGTCTGTTCTTTCTGGCAGAACACCTGGGTCCGTTCTGCTTCTCGCGTTGTATTATTTATCTCTTTCGGCTGCCCTTTTGTCACTGGCCACGAGGGAGCGGAATCAAGGGATGAACAACCGAATATGAAAGATATTTCGAGTATGAAAGAAGAAGAAGACAAAAAAATCAGACTTCATACCATCGAGCTCGGCGGTTTGAGAATTATGTGACGCGCCATGGTAAGGTCAACTGAGGTTCAAATTAGGTTCGGAGGTTCACGCGGGGCGGATGTAAAGTAGTTAGTTACCTTACGGGGCCGGTGGTCGATTACAATTTGCTGCTGGATAAGTGGTCTTAACGCGCTCGAAGCATCCGGTTTAGGTATCATCCTGTTCGATGATTGGCTTGAGGAAACCCCTGGGAGGAGTAATCAGTTCAAATATCAAAACGTTTTGAGGGAAAATAGGGGGGGTGGAGGGCGACAAAAGAAGTAGTAGTAGCCTGGTGAGGATGGATGGATGCCCACCGAAAACCATACATACATACTTGACCTTCAAAGCTTGACCTCTTCAGCTTCCCACACACACTACACCGTACCTGTGACCTAGCTTCCTTTTTTGTTGTAATCAGGACCTGTGACTCTCTCGTCGTCATCATCATCATCATCATGACCATAGCAGACCGACAAACTCGTTGAAATGGGACTGTTGAAGCTGTTCGAAAACCCCAGAAACCCAAACTGCGTGATCGGCACCGAACCTCCCTGGGAGCCCTCGAGAAACCGAAAAAGCTTCCATCTGATTTCAAAGTTTTTTTTGGAAAGGCTTCCATGGGTTCTTTTTTTTTCCCCTGTGCTTGGGTCACGTCAGCTCTTCAGTCAGCTTCGTCGGGGTAAGGTAAGGTTAGGTAGATAGTGGGGCCCAGGGGGGGGGATCCATCTAAACCCATGGAAAACTTGCTGATGATTTTCTTCCAACCAGCTTCTTCCAAGTTTTTTCAGCTCTTTTTGTTTTTTGGAGGATTCAGGCCCCGTTTGGTTCAACTAACAAAAAGTCAACTTGTTTTTACAAGGGGTAGAGGAGGGTACAAAGCTAAAAAGGCAGCTAAGAGGTACCGCAGGAGGATGGGGGCCAAAAGACGCGTTGTTTTGACAAGGGTGCATTCTGTTGCTTGGTATCTTCATACCCTGAGGAGGGAAGATAGAAACCAACAAAATGCTCCTGCAGAGGCCCACTAATTCCCTTCTTAAGCCTTCCGGACTACATTGCATCTACTTGCCTTAGCGCGGTACCTCTATATGCAGCCAAGACTGATATGACCCCCAACTTCCTGCATAAAATAGCAAAAAAACAGTTTGTTAGCTGGCAGGGATCATTTTCCCATACAAACTTTTATTTTGTTGGTTGAACCAAACGGGGCCTCAGGCAGGCAGGCAGGCAGGCAGGCGAGCAGGGGCTGTACGAGTTTTATGTACTATGTAAAAGAGGAATTTTGCGGCTCCGGACCCGGGTTCGTACATAACGGGATCGGCATACATCGATAGGGGGAAGGGGTGGGTGGTGGGAAGTTAGTAGTGTAGGGTGGGAGCGGGGAAATGGAAAGTGCGGCGGCGGGATCCTCTTTTGACGACATCAATCAATGCGATGTGTGTCGTTCGTTCGTTCGTCCCGAAAAAGAAGGACGAACGACGAACGACACGTGAAACCTAACTTAACCTAATCTTGACGACACCAAACAACGGGACGTACCGAGGAGGCGGAAGGGATGGGATGGGATGGGATGGGATGAACGGTTAATTTAAGCTTTTTTTTTTTTTTTTTTTTTTTTTTTTTTCTTATTGTTCTCCGAGATTTTTTTGGTTTTGTTTTTCCTTTTCTGGTCTATCGATCAGCTTTTCACTTTTTTTTTATTTCTTTTTTTCCCACATTTCGCGTTTTTCAATAGTTCCGGGTAACTATTGAAACTGATTTATCAGATCGTGATGATCGTCATCGGGTCTTGCCGTTTGTGGGGTTTACCGACCGACTACCGAACCGGACGAACCTCCGGGAATATCGCAAATGTACCATGTAGTTCTAGTGTAGTATAGATAGGGTAGAACAAACATCCCGAACGATCCCCGGATGCAATCAATCAATGTGCATGCCAGTTGAAAAAAGAGCGTGCCAAATGCCTGAATGCCTGGCTCGAGCCTGGTATGGATGGAATGGAATGGAACGATGAACTGAAATGAAACTGACATCGATACATCCGAACTTATCGCTGAAACCGTCCGTCACGATTCAGGAAAACCGACGGTGTTCAATGGTTGGTGCCACTTGCCGGTATTCTACACAAGAGCACAAAACACAACTTGAACGAACGAAAAGCTTGATTAATGCATCGGTTAAAGCCACACACTCACCAAGCCACTCTCGCCCACTGCACCTTCCCCCATGCGCACCTTGACGAACATCTCCCGCCTAGACTAGCACTTGCCTTAAGCTGTCCATTTTTACGTCTTGGAAACATCACTTACTACCGTAGTATGAACTCTATATAAAATGCTACAGATGAAACGCCATGGGCAGGCGGGTGTAGCGAGGATGGTTGTCTGCCTTTATCCGACACAAACCGTAAGTACCCTCGAACGAGGGTTTGAAGTAAATAACTAACATATTCCTGTCATAGTTACAAGCACCCCTTTTCACTTCCCCTGCGGGTATAGATACATATGGTGCCGAGTCGGCCGGGTTGCCCCGTACCGTTGCCGTACCGAACCGAGCCTAAGATGATACCGATCCCGGCTAGGTAGTTGGATATCTATTTCGGTAGGTGTCCTTGAAGTTCTAGACATATGTAGGTACTTGCCGTTACCGGGATTCTTCCTTGTGTCGTGGGGTTGAGATGTACTACATGTATGCCGTGATGCCGTATCAAATGCCGTGTAATGAAGTGACGAGAACATGGGAGGACCAGACCGGGAGAACTGCCGAATGAACAAAAGTCGAAACCTGGTACAAATCTTAGCTGAAGATATATTGCATAGCAGTATGTATCTAGTAATCACCAGTCACGCTACCTGCGGAGCTGTCGTCTTGGTGAACTAATAGATAGGGAAACCACAAGTGGTCGAAGAAATATATTACATTTGCCTTCTATACTTGCTTGATGACATTTTAGACATCGTCAAGTTGTCCACTAACGCTGCCTGACAACCCCCTTCGTTCCACACACACACACGCACGCACACATATAAAACATAGTACTACTAAAGCCAGGCGCGAAGTGAACCCTGCCATTCAATCCATGAGTTAAAGATGCACATGCAAGAAACCTCCGTCCCACCACCCTATCCCCTCCTTTATCCTGTCTTAAACGCACGAATTATCGGATGCCTCCCTCCTTCGTAGTAGAAAAACTCCAATTGCATCTTTTTGCCCGTCCTTTGAGTTTTTGATACCCTTTCTTCCCTGGCTTTCACCTACTCCCCACCACCCAAAGCAACGTTGCCGACCCAGTCCCTTCAATCAAAGGACTGCTCCATTTATATTGTCCTCTTGCGTCGTCATCATCCTCAAAACTTTCACAGCCCTTTTGTGATCTTTTCACTTTCTCTGTCTCTCGTCACCCAAAAAAAATATAGATAGCTAAGGGGGTATCGTATCCGCGCATGTACCGTTCGAAAAGGGATGAAATGTTTGTTGGCGCTTGTCGTGTTACATAAGAAAATAGATGGGGCGGTTAGAGGTTGGTCAGGTAGTGAAGGTAATTGTTGCTTGGAGCCATAGTACCATGCAATTGCCAACACTTTGTCCTCCTCTTGCTATTCACACACACACTCTCTCTTTTTCCAGTCAGACCCCGGACGGACTCGCAGCACTTCAGAAATCATCAGTACATTCCATCACCAGGAAAGCCGCCTCGTGAAGAATTGCCCGGGTTGAGCGCGCCTTGACTCGTCGTTGAAGAACCTGCGTCGCTACTAGGGGTGGCAGGCTCGACAACTCTGTTCCTGATGGTCATGATCCATTCATGCTGCAACAGCTCCATGGCAGTTGCGCGCTTGGTGGAATCCCGCATGAAACAGCGTCTCAGAAAATCGATGCCCTCAGGGCTGAGCTGGTCTTGGCTGGGTAGCTGGGGCGGGTTTCCTTGGGCAATGTTGTACATGATAGCCCACTCGTTGTCCAGGTTCGCCCATGGCCTTCGGCCAGTTGCCATCTCAAGGATGACACAGCCAAGAGACCATATGTCAACCGCTCCAAAGTGACCGGCATTCTCACCCTTAATCACTTCGGGCGACATGTACATGGGCGTACCTGTCATCGACTTGTTGGGCTTGGTGCTGGCGATGTCTTGTACCAACGTCCGTCCCTGGCGGGCGATGAGTTTGGCCGCACCAAAATCGACATACTTAATTATGCCGTTATGATCGAGGAGAATATCTGTCAGGGCGCAGTTAGTACAGAACAACTAGGCAGCAAAAGCAACTGTACAGCAAACTTACTTTCTGGTTTGATATCACGGTGAGCAATCTTGAGCTCGTGAAGGTACGCAAGACCTTCGAGAAGTTGCAACGCGTAAACCATGATAACTTGTTCGTCCTCGATTCTGCCATGCTCCAACAAGTTGGCAAGTGAGCCTCCGGAACAAAATTCCATGAACATGTACACGCGGTCTCGATGGACCTCGATACCATAGTAAGAAACTACATTGGGATGGTCGACCGTCTCCAGAACCCGCATTTCATCCCTGATCTGGCCAGCAATAGTGGGGATCAGTTTAGGATCTTGCAGGCGAATCTCCTTCACGGCCATCAGCTGGCCGGTGTCAAGGTTCACAGCCGCGTACACGTTGCCGAAAGTTCCACCGCCCACAAAGTGACCTTGCTGCCATCTCATGGTGAAGTTGGTCGCTGTGGAGGAGAGCCATGCAAGCGACCGATCCACCTCGTTAGAAGCCTCCAAGACTCTGCCCATGGCAGATTGTTGCAGTAGGATCTCCTTTCTGTAGTTGTCGACTTTTGCCAACTCTTCGAGGCGATGTTCTTGGTAGTACTTGGCTGCTTCGTTGTCATCCAACATTTGACCTTTGTTCAGACGCTTGATCTGGTTGACGAGTCCCTCCAAGCGCTTCTTCTCCGCCTGGGCGGCCACGCTGGATCTGGCACCCATGATGTCGAAATGAGATATCAGAAGCGCCATGCACCCGGCAACCTT